ACTTTATATAATATTTATTTATTCATTTAGTTATTGAATAACGCTAAAGTCGTGAGCAACAATGAAAAAAGTAGTGCATATTGTTTTCTATTGAGAGTCTGGTGTAATTGCAGACCCAGGAAAAGACTTGGAATCAAAAGCTTCAAGAAGCACAAATGTCATCAGGGTTTTTTTGCAAGCCATCATTAGGTGTGCCATTGAGTGACCTCATAGAGGAACAAAGCGTAGACCTAAGAACTTCCGCAAGAAGGAATCATGATACTCAGTGCTTTCTCATATTCTGCCAACAAGCGATTGAATAGGTTACTCTTAAATCAGTTATTGCTTGCTTCTCATCCAGTGTTTATATCGTATCATCAATTCTCGTCAATTATCTTCTGTTATGAATAACTGGTTCTTCGAAGCAGAATTTCAAGTCTTTCATTTGTTTCCTAGACCTTCTGCTGATATACTAGATGATAATGTTCGCTTGCATTTCTTTTGCTCAATAACGTTCCCTATTGGCTTAGATAGGTGCCAGAGTAGACGACGGGAGTCGCGTTTTTGGCGCGTCTTAGCGGAAACGCTTATAGCGAAGAATCCGATTTGAGAGGGAATGACATTGGTCGATACCCACGCTTTGAGGATTTGGGAATTCGCATGATGCGTGATGGATCAATCTTTATGTAAATCTTAAGCTAGCATGAATTTATTGATCGCGTTTTTTCCGAACCGCGTTTCCTCTCCGTTCGCGTTTTCACTGAGTGCCCGCCGACAGCGCGACTTCTGTCGCTGACTCTGACCTGTCTCTTATGTAGTTGTTATCCTTTTCTATCGCAGTCCATAAACTCCTCCTTCTCACCATACATAAAATTAGTATATGTGAAGTGAATTAAAACTTGCACTCTGAGAATTTTCGTCTAATTTCTTCTCGTCATCGGTTTGAACCTTTAAACCTATGGATGCAGCGAGAAAGCTATGACTTGCTCAAGCGAAGGCACGCACATTACACACACCAGCCAACCATGGGTTGTATCCAGTAGGAGCTTCGCTAGTATTTTAGTAATCGAGAACATTTTCTTGTTCAGACCATTTCCCTCCGAAATAAATGCGGCATTATCTCCCCAATCTTCCTCTACGAATATGCCCTCCTCCAGAAGAAGAGGCTATCTATCGCAGTTTACAAGAAGACGTTGAAAAGGTTGACTTGGACGCTGCCATTTATGATATCTCTCCTTTGAAGTGGGTTGCTATCTTACTGCTTTATTACTTCTGGTTTTCATGAAGAGAACTGCTAGCGTCAAATAGTCGAATCTGTTGACACATCATTGGCTGTTCAGGAATGAAGAAGAGGAGCCGCAGTTCATCTACGACCATATCGTCTGCCGAAAGGACAGCCAGCGCAAACACGATGTTAGTGATTTTTGTCAATTTCGTCAAGCTCCATACAGATTGTTTTGCCTAGAAGTAGTGGCTCCCCGTTTCATTGTTCGGCACCGAACAACTATTACAAGCTCCAAAATATCAAAATTTTATTTTCCGAATTTCGTCCTATAGGGGTAACTTCGATGCCCTGATTACGAATATGACATTCATTTGCCATTTGGCGCCAGTTGGCGCCACCTTGTCACGACGGCTGTTTTCACCAAATTTGCTGTAAACTTGTATACCGGAGGTTATTTGGTATCCTGATTACGAATATATCTTCACTTGAGCACTGGCGTCTTTTGGCACCTATTTTTTGCTGCTCTGCCCTGCGTTATTATAATAATTAGAGATTTTTCATTTCTGATGAGAGCAGGACTCGAGGTGGAATGTCACTTACCTTGGAATCTCACACTTTCCATCTTTTGTCAGAGTGCGCATAGTTTACCCATTCCTTTACTCCCTAAGCTTGACCTTAACCTTGGGATTATAGGTATTAAGAGAGTCCAAGAGAGCAGAATTCGATTGATATACAGCTCTAATGCCCAGAACGGGTGCCATATTCGTAATCAGGATCCCGAATATTTCCTACATAGTAGCTTAAACCGATTTTGGTGAAAAGAGCAGTCGTGACGAAACGCTAAAAATTGATGTCATTTCCGTAATCGGAACATCGAATCACCTCTATCCACCTCTGAGAAAGTTTCGCCAAAATTAAAATTTTGAAGTTCTCTGGCTGCAGTTGAGTAGTAACGATTATGCTGATTCAGGTGTGGTCAAGCTTCTCGCCATCTTCAAAACGAGAACACTGCATGAAAGAATTGTTAGACACAGAACAAAACTATGTTGAGAAGGCCCTGAACATGATCATCAACAAGTTCTATGAGCCTCTTCAGAAGGTTGTTCGAGAGGCAGATCACAAATTGATCTTCATGAATATCATGGTGGGTTCCATGTTGACTAGGGAGTGATTTAGATTTGAAAGTGCTTGTTTCAGACGTTATGGAACTTGCATCACTCGTTTTATAGCGACCTACGACATGCAGTGCTAAAAACATTGGGTTTGAACCAACCAAATGAGGGTCGGCCGAACTCGTTGGCCCTAGGACGCACTATTGGCGATGTTTTTGTCCAGTGAGTTGTTCCGTTTGTTTTTTGTTTGATCTATTTCGTTTCCACTTATTTTCGTTTTCTTTTTTCTTGGCCTTTTAATTTCCTGTTTTTGGTTTTCTCCATTATTTCTTCACTACTTCTTTTAAGGCACAAAGACAAATTTATCGCGTACGGTCCTTATTGTATGGGTCTTAGCGATTCAAGAGCCCGTATACTTGAATTGGAGAAGAATGATCCTACCGTCAAAGCCAAGATCTATGTGAGTATTTTGATTTATGCATTCAATTATCGACGCTCATGTCCTTAGGGGAACATTCAAAACAGTACATTCAAAAACCGCTGGTAGGTGACACTAGGACTAAGCCCAGGATTGGGAATAAACACCAGGGAGAACAATGGTTGCTCACATCCTCTCCCAGAATCCTTTCCCCTCCCTAAGGCTTAGTCCCGAGTTCTATGAGTGGCCCACTCACTTCATTGTCCCTTCTGAGGACATGAGCGCCTAATTATTTATTTTCATACGTCCAGCGGACGTGCTTCAAAGATACACAAAGTATGATTGTAATTGATTGATTTGTGAAAGATCAATTATCAAGACGGACTAAACATTCTTTGAGGCGTGATACAGCTGATGTGTTGAATAGCCGACATTTTTACATCACATGCTTTGCGGCGTGTTTTTAGAGACCGATTTTCTGAGGGATGTCATTTATTGTTACTGATTGTAATGATTTCAGGAATGCACGGCGTCCGTAAACGATAACCAATTCAAATTGCAAGATTTACTATGTCTTCCAATGCAACGCGTCCTGAAGTACCATATACTACTCTCGGTTAGTTATTGTTATTTTGAGAGTAGTTTT